ACTCTAAAATTAGAGCACAAATTCCTGCAAATTCATGGATTACTTTAGATGACCATAAATAGATTTTTGCTGATTTTGATGAAGTCATTGGTTTTTCAAAGTGCAAAAACTGTGGCCTCAAAAACAAGTTGTTCAAGAACTCAAACTTCAGAGTTTTTCATAGATTCCAAGGCCAGAAGGAACCACTGATAATCTAGTCTGATGTCCAATATAACATAGCACATACAACTCACCTAAAATAATTTCTAGAATATATCAGAAAAACATCCAGTATATACTATAAATTGTTAGTGATGTATAATCCACCAGGATCTCTGCTAAAATGCTTAAGGGGCATGAATTTTTTTATAAAGCAGACTGACATTTTTTCCAGCTCTAACATTTCTCAGATCGCTTATACATACTTTTGCTAAATTAGAAAACATTTACAATTACAATCCTATGAAATTATAGGACTATCATATTTTCACTGTAAAAAATGTGCTTTAGATTTGCTAGCATTACAGTTCTTGCATTCTCCTCCTGCTCCCAGTCATTTACATATCCCCTTTCAGAAATTGATGTAAACCTTGAAAAAAGTTTTCTAAAGGGTATATTATTGAAATGAGTTGGACAGCTGTTAAGTTAGATCCTTATGTCCAGGGCTCGACAAATTACTCGCCTGTGACAAGTAAATTTTACCAGCTGGCGAGTGCAGAGACAGACTGGCCTGGTGGGCCGTTGTAATGGGCTGGCTGAAGCCCACACTACAGGCGGTGCGGCCCCATCCAATCCGCCAGCCGGCGGAGGAGCAGAGCACTGCTGGGGAGAGGGAACCACGGCGATTCTCAGCTGGGCTGCGGCGTGAGGAGGCGGAGCGCCAGCAGATGCCAGGATGCTGGCATGACGTGGCCCCGCCGATTTTAAAGGGCCGCAGCAGCTTAGCTCTGGCTGCGTGTCAGGCCCTGCCCCACCGGCTCTGGCCCTGCCATGGCCCCAGCCCGTCACTGGCGAGAGACCACTCCCTGCCGACTGCCCGGCTCGCTGTGCCTGCCCCATACCCCATCTGGCTCCCACCGCCCATTCCCCATGCCGCCCCAGCACCCCAGATCCCTGGCTCTCACTCTGGCTCTGCGCCACCCTTGCATCCTGCACCCCGCTCTCCCCTATCCCTGCTCTCCCCCGCTCTGTGCTGCCCGTTCCCTGCACTGCTCCAGACCCTGATCCCTCTGCCCCTCCCGTTCCCCGCATCCCATTCCCTGTGCCTCCACCGCACCCCGCACATTGCTCCCCCTGATCCCTGTGTCCCTCTGCCTCTGTGCCTCCTGCTCCCCGCACCACCCGTCATCTCCCCCCACTGTTCCCTGCACCCCTCTGGCTCTGTGCTGTCCCTGCACCCTGTTTCCCTGTGGGTTGGGAGTGAAGAGTGCTTGTCCATAGGGAGGGGCTGGACAGGGCAGGGAAAAGGCTGCTGTGACCCAGCAGCGAGTAAAAGGGGAAGTTCACTTGAAGCGCCTTTGCCTTCATGGAAAAAAATGAATGAAAATGCTACTGGCTATTTATAGGGCTAAAATGCTGGGACAAAAATGAAAAGAAACAAAAAAACCCATTGCAAAACACAAACGTGTAAAAGACAACAAAAAAGTGTGTGTGGGGGGGATGTTTTGCTTGGCCCTGGGGGAAGGGGCTTGTGCTGAGGGGAGGGGAGGAGGAGGAGAAGAAAGGGGAAAGCACCAAGGGACAGGGGTGCAGGAGAGAGAAAACCCAGGGGGCCAAGTGCAGACAATGAGGAAAAGGGCAGGAGGGAAGGTGTCAGTGTGGGGGGAAGAAACAGGGTGGTGCTGGAAGAGGAGAGGTTAAGGGCACTAAGGGCTAGAAGGAAGATGCATGTGGTCTTTGCCCATGAAAGCTTATGCTCCTATACATCTGTTAGTCAGGTTGATAAGGTACTACAGGACTCCTTGTTGCTTTTGCAGATCCAGACTAACATGGCTACCCCTCTGATACTTGATCTTTCTCTGTAGCTCCACCAGTTGTCTTCCACTGTGGAGGGGTGAGGCAGCTAGTATGCAAGCTCCTTTATCTTTCTGCTAGAAAACCTGGCTGGCAATCCTGTACTCCATTCCTGACTTGCCCTGACCTCTGATTTCAAAGGTGCTAAGTGGTATGTACAGTCCTATGCTGTTCCTCTGTAGAGGCAAATTTCATGCAGGGGGCTTCATTTGGAACACACACTTTTATTTCAGTATCTCTTTTGATCTTGAGCAGACTAAAGTTTATATTACCCAGCAGTGTCCACATGAGCTTATTGCAACAAGAATCTATTAAGCTGAATACCATGAATATTTAAAGTCACTGAATATTGTTGTAGGTAATATCTGTAGCTATGCAGCTTTCAAATTAAAATAATCAAGGTAATTAAATCAAATAATGTCAAGGACTAATCTGATTGTCTGCAGGAGCTGACAAAGATTTTATTTCTGCCAAGTAAATTACTGCACAGTTTTAAACAAACACTTTTTGGGGGGGGGGAGAGGGTGGAAGGTGCCAGGAGATTCCGGAGGTGAAGCAGAAGGGCAGACACCTGCAGGGGAGGGACCAGCATCAGAGGAGAGAGGCAGGGCAGGTGTGTAGAGGGAGGTGTTAGGAGAAGGGATAAGGAGGGGTAGCTCACTTGATCAGAGTTGGGCTACTGGAGGAGTGGGCACAGGGGGGAGAGAAGGGCTGATGAAGGGGGGCAGGTCTCAGGAAGGCTGAGGGCAGCAAGAAGGGCAGGAGTCAGGACAGCAGAGGAGGGTGAGGGGTTGGGGGACAGCACCCACCAGGGGAGCTGATGGAGAAAGGAGAGGAGACATGGCAGCAGAGGGAAAGGTAGAAGTTTATAAGATATTTATTAATCACTTGGGTGATATTTAATAACATATTAGTAATAACTGTTCTTATTCTTATTAGGCATTTATGCCATTAAACAAACACTTTTTGGGGGGGGGGGAGAGGGTGGAGAGTCCCTTTGTCTGGTGAGTAGGGTTTTCCATAATTTGTCGAGCCCTGCTTCTGTCTATACTAAAATGCATTGCATTAGGATTCATATTCTACAAAGTAGACTTCTTTCCACAAATTAGAACCTACTATGTTGTCAATTTGTCAACATTTCTGCTTTCTGTAAGCAATCCTAAAACCAAGGACATAACCACTAAAACTTGAGCAAGTGCTCAAATTTTTAAGAAAATAAAATTTCAGTGATTTCTTGTGTCAGTATACACAAACATAATGAAGTTACTGATTCTTTTCCATGATACAACCAGCAGGGCCCGACAGACTCAGTGTGCCCCTGGGCAAGGTGGAGTGGTGGGGAACTTGCCTTCGGAAGAGGTGGGCCTTTGGGAGGAAGGGGTAGGGTTGGGGCTAGGCAACTCAGTGTTCAGTGCTACCTGGAGAGTGCCACGCTTTCCTCAGTGCTACCCAAAGTGCGCCTTACAGTGTGCCGGCAGCATTTTAAAGGGCCTGGAGTACGGAACAAAAAACCTACATAAGAAAAGCCATACTGGGTCAGACCAAAGGTCCACCTAGCCCAGTATCCTGTCTGCAGATAATAGCCAAAATGAGATGCCCCCAAGGGAGTAAACACAATAGGTAATAATCATGCGATCCCTCACCTGTCATCTATTTTAAGACAAACATAGGCTAGACACACCATTTCCACACATCCTGGCTAATAGCCATCAATGGACCTAACCCTCCATGAATTTACCTAGCTCTTTTTTAACCTTGTTAAAGTCCTAATCTTCACAACATCCTCTGGCAAGGAGTTCTACAGGTTGACTGTGCCCTGAGTGAAGAAAAACTTCCTTTTGTTTGTTTTAAACCTGCTCCTATTAATTTCATTTGGTGACCCCTAGTTCTTATATTGTGGGAATAAGTAAAAAACATTTCCTAATTCACGTTTTCCATGCCAGTCATTTTATAGACATCTATCATATCACCTCTTCCCCCCTCCCACCCCGTTAGTCTCCTCTTTTTTAAAATGAGAAGTCCCGGTCTTTTTAATCTCTCTTCATATGGGACCTGTTCCAAACCCCTAATAATTTCTGTTGGCCTTTTCTGAACCTTTTCCAATGCCAATATCTCTTTTTTGAGATGAGGCGACCACATCTGTATGCAGTATTTAAGATGTGGGTGCTCCATGGTTTTACATAGAGGCAATAAGATTATCTCGGTCTTATTCTCGGTCCCTTTTTTAATTATTCCCAACATTGTTGACTGCAGCTGCATACTGAAAGGATGTTTTCAGAGAACTGTCCACAATGACTCCAAGATCTCTCTCGAGTAGTTGTAGCTAAATTACTCCCCATCACATTGTACATGTAGCTGGGATTATTTTTTCCAATGTGCATTACTTTACATTTATCAACGTTAAATTTCATGTGTCATTTTGTTGCCCAATCACTTAGTTTGGTGAGTTTTTTTGAAGCTCTTCACAGTGTTCTTTGGTCTTAACTATCTTCAGTAGATTGGTATCTGCACATTTTGCCACATCACCTTTTACCCCTTTGTCTAGATCATTTCTAAATAAGTTGAATAGAATTGGTCCCAGGACAGACCCTTGGGGGACTCCACTAGTTACCTCTCTCCACTCTGAAAACCGACCGTGTATTCCTCCCCTTTGTTTCCTGTCTTTCAACCAGTTATCAATCCATGAAAGGACTTTCCCTCTTATCCCATGACAACTTACTTTAGAGCCTTTGGTGAGAGACCTTGTCAAAGGCTTTCTGGACATCTAAATACAGTATATCCACTGGATCCCCCTGTCCACATGATTGCTGACCCTCTTAAAGAACCCTAGAACATTAGTAAGGCAAGATTTCCCTTTACAGAAACCAGGCTGACATTTCACCAACAAATGTTCATCTATTTTATTCTTTCCTATAATTTCAACTAATTTGCTCGGTACTGACAGGCAAGTCTTTAATTGCCAGGATCACCTGTAGAGCCCTTTTTAAAAAAGTTTAGTTTCCTCTTACCTTCTGGGGCGTCTGCATCACAGTCTTTAGGCACATATGTTGTAACATTCCCCGGCTGGCCATCAACAAGTGTTCTATTATGCTGCATGAAGAATATGTCATGTCAGAAAATAACATGTTCAATATCACTATGCAATGTGATGGTTTGACAAAGCTCTATTTTATAGACAAGTTTTAAATTTCATTTGCAAGATACTCCTTACAAGACAAAAAGTGATTGAAAAAAACCTTACAGTGCATCTTAAATCTGGGCATTCTACAGTTTATTTTCCAAGATTTACAGGTTATGAAGAGTTATAGTATAATTTAATAGCATAAATTGCTGCAAGATTTTTTTCACAATTAAGCTTTAGTTGATGACATTTGAATTCTTAAAAATATTGAACAAGTTGACTGCACACGCAAGGATCTAATAAACACACAGTTGTACAAGATAAAACAAGTGCTGAAGTACATGATGGATTGCAAAATTCAGCAAGGCTCTGCACAAGTGGTTACTGCCTTGCACAGACATTGAAGCCAAGTTTTACACATACAGGCTTATTTTCAGAAGTTTTGAGCGTCGTCAAAATCCTGCAATGCCAACTAGAATTGAACAGATTCACCATCACTGAAATTTTAGACCACTTATGTTAGGCTACTAAATATGCATTTTGGAGCTTAACATAGTTCTACAAACTTGAAAATGTTGGGGCTGTGTTTTTTAGTGTGGATTCCTGCAGTTTGCGTGTTCACCACAAAATACTTACTGTGACTATGATCTATAGCCAATATAATTTAAAAATTAAGTCAGGGGATACAATATACTTACATAGTTTGCAGTATTGAAATATATATACTACCTTAATATAGATTGTACCTCCCTCAACTAGGACTCTCTAGTCTGGCAAAATCTGTGGTCCAGCAGGACCGGGGATGTTCCTGAACCACAGAGCCCAGGTATAAGGAGGTCAGGCCGTGGGACAGGGGTATGGCAGGGGGACTGGTGACTTAGCTGGCAGCCCCATGTGGGGTGAGAGGACGTGGAGAGAGAGGCGGTGCAGCAGAGAGTTCTGCCCCTGTAGCAGGGGTCAGAAGTGGCTGCACAGCTTGAGGTCCAGCAAAAGCTGCAGAGCTCCAGCCGTGGAGCTCGGGGACCAGCAACAGTAGCTTGGGAGTTCCAGAATGGGGATCTATGGCTGAGCAGGCAGCAGTGGTGTTGGGCTGGAGCCCTAACAAGGGCCAGGAGTTCAGCACGGACCATGTTGGGAGGGACCTCCTCTGGTCTAGCAAATCCCCTCATTAGGGACGGGTCAGGTCCCGAGGGTACCGGATGAGGGAGGTCCAACCTGTATGTGAAAACAGCATTACATTTTGGGTTCAATCCTGACTACCTGTTTAAATCCAGATAAACACTGTTAGCTCTGAATTATAATACAGATCATTCCTTTTTATCTAATTGTCCAGTATTCGTAGTCTAATGCATATCATACCACGACACATTAAAATTGGAGACAAATCAATTATAGGATCTAATTAATCAGTTGAGAACTATTCCTCTAATATTTTCTAATTATTTGCCAAGCCTAGTGGTAAGCATCCTTATAGGAACAGGATTTCACCACTTCCTTTGATGAATGTTCAGCCGATTAAGAAACTACAACTTCAGGAAATTTTCCTTGATATTCAGCCTACATTCTACCTTCAAATGTATTCCATCATTCCTTGTTCTACTTTGACTTAAATTCCAATTGCTCCTTGGCAATCGCACAGCCTTCTGATAGCTATTGACTAGTATGTCTTTGAAGACAACTCTTCAACAGAGCAATATGTAATCTTAACTGCTTTCTTGTAAACCTCTTTAGCCTTTGGCTAATTTTTGTTGCTTTTCCATGAACTCCCTCCAATTTGTCAATATCATTCTGGTAATGAGATAGCCAGAATTGAATACAATATTCTAGCCATAAGTACACCAGAGCAGTATAGCTCTATGATGCCGGTCGATGCAGCATAAAATTGTATTCTTTTCAGCGCTGTACGACATCTCAAACATGGATCTAATTTGCTGCCCACTAGAGCTTTCAGCTTTATTTCCCAGATTTCTCCCGCTCATTAAATAAATATATTTCAAATTATTTTCCCTCAGATTAATTACTTTTTTTAAGCTCAATTTTATTTGCTTACTAGAAGACTTACCAGGTGTTGCTTGGGTCCTAAATTCAAATAAGTTTTGTTTTTCTTCATTTAAATCATTGTTCTGGGGCATAAATGGAGATTACGTGGTATGCAAGGTGCCCCAGGGCCCTCTCTTATGGTAGCAGCCTGGGCCACGTGAGAAGTGCCTGTTCATGGTTGCTGGAGTGGGCACAGCCAAGGGAGAGGTGTATGTCCCCCAGCTGGGAGGCAGGGGCAGACACACAGATAAGCTCTCTGAAATATATAGTTGATAGCTGTCCCTTTCTTCACCCCTGCTAGCCGAAAGGGGTTATAGCAGTCCTGGACCCTATCTCTGGCCTCTTGCTGTCCCTTGCAGCCATTCTACATTGAAACTGTTCCATCTATCACATCGTTCCCTTTTCAGCTGTAAAAGACAGCAACTTAACTCAGTATGCACACACCCCTCCTCTATATCAGACGTCTCAAATTACACTTCCCCTGCAAGACCACCACGCCTCAAATGAAGCATCTCCCAAAAGTGGAGCCAGGCACTTCCTCAGACTACAAGTTACAAAGATGAAGAGTAGAAACATGGATTAATGTGCACAGAAGAAAAATGCCCTCCTTTGCTGGTTATAGAAGCCTGCCAGTACATTTTGCCTGAGTATTTTCCACCATTATTCCACCTTCCTCTCAAATGACAGGTGTCCAGTTCTTCCTCACTATTCATGAGCTGATCCACAAGGACAATACTTTTTCTGATTATGTAGTTTCCTAACAGTCCACATAACACTTACAAGATGAGAACCAACTAAGCTGTGTTGACTGTATGCCATATTTTTCTACTTTTCTTAAACCATGCTAGGTCTTTCTGCAGAGATTCATTCTTTTACAGATGTTACTCCAATCTTTAAATACCTGCCCTAAAGCCATTACTGCCTCATTAGGCTTCTTGAGGAATGGATCATATCTTTTTATCTGTGCTGGGAAGCTTCTACTTTGCTTTTATGCATTGTATTTATATTATTTCTTCTACACTCCTAATTTAGGGTCTTAATTTTATTTCATTATGTCAGACCAAGCTTAATAATGAACCAAACTATAGCCTTGCAAGAAACTATCCCTAGTTGTACTGCAATTTGTATTAATATTTTGCTCACTATCCTTTAGTCAACTGTCATACATCTAAGTCTTAGTTCCATAAAATAGTGTTCAAATTCTATTTCACAGTAAAATGTAAGTATATTAAAGATGCTACTTTTCATCATCAATTTTGCATTTCTATCAAAGATTTCAGTTTGTCTAGAATTTTCTTCATTATTTACTGAGTAGACACATAGATGTGGTCCTCACTCTGAAGAGCTTAAATCTCAATGAAAACAGGAGAAGCAGAGAGAAATATGGAAGGGTGTAAATTAAGAGAAGAGAATGCAGGGGACGCAGTTAAACAGGATATAAGTTGGTTGATTTTTTTAATTAATTGAAAGCTTAAAGGTGGTTTCTTTTTATTAGAAGGGGATGGGTTGGTAAACATGTTTCCTAGGGTAAACCAAAGACCATGGTAAAATCAGAGATAATGAAGCAGGTAGCAGCGAAGTGTGCAGGTAGGAAAGGGTGGAAAACTAAGCAGTGGGAAATCAATACCTTAAAGTAATGGACTAATGACTATACCAGGATCTAGATGTTTTGGAAACATACTGGAGCATCCGTGCCTCTAGCAGGTATTCACATGGCTTACCATCTCTTCCCCAAGGTAATATAGATCTGAGAGAGAGCCCAAATAGAAGACTTCATAACAATTTTCTACAAGTTTAGTCCCCCCTCCCCAGTATTGAAAAATAGGGTAAGTGGCAATTGCTAGAATTACACTTCATTTTTGGAAGATCAGTGCTACATTTAGTTTTCTCCAGGTATTCTGGAACCTTTCAACTTCCTTGATTTATCAACAGTAGCATTATTTAGCGGTATAACCATTTTACATATTTTCGCTTAGTCCAGGTTCATTGCTTTAACCACAAGACTATCCTTCCAAATCTTTATCCACTAAATTTGCCCAATACTGACGTTACACTTATGTCTAGTATCGTCCTAGAATATCCACATCCATGGCCCTTCCAAAACATGGATGTTGCAGGACCAGAGGACTAGTTTAGAGAGGTTCAACCAGTACTTGGGTCAGACTCAGGCATCAAACAGAGAGGTTCAACCAGTACTTGGGTCAGACTCCAAGGCATCAAACAAGTAACTAATCTCTCTCAGGGAGTTGCTCTTTGTTAGCAAATAGATTCATAAGACAACTACATTTGCTGAACATGTATCTGAAGCCTTTCAGTGACCAGTATATGGATCCCATTGTCTGCAGCTCTGGCCATCTGCAAATGTATCTTTCATGTAGCATGAACAAACACTAGCAAAAATAGGACCTAGTCTTCTGCCTTACAGAACATCTGCTATGTGACACTAAGGTACTAGATATTGGCTCCACTGTGCATCCAGACAGTACTTGTACTGGAGGCGAGGCAGGAGTACAGGTGAACTCTGAAAACAATATTGGACTGGGGAATTCAGAGAGCATATACATGAAAGAGGGTCTGCCAGGAAGTCTAATACAAAGAAATACAACCTCTATACCCACATGGAGATTCTCCTGTTGTATATCAAGAAGTAGTGCAATCCTTTTGGCCATAGTGTTTGGCAGCTTATGTTTAACGGATTATACTTCATAAGAGAGAGTTACTCACCCTGTGCAGTAACGTCTGTTCGAGATGTGTGTCCCCGTGGGTGCTCCACTCGAGGTGCTGGACTCGTCCCGGCGCCGCAAACGGAGAAACTCGCAGTAGCCCTGCCGGCCTGCGCATGCACTCCTGCTGCCTCGCGCTGTTCAAGCCGTTACAGCTGAGCGCGGGCCAGCTCGTCAGTTTCCTCCCAACGGGAAGCATCTGAAAA